AAATTTACATAGAAACTCAGCTGACTATAGCCTGCTTATATGAGAGGTATCTCCAAAAATATTTTTATATATTAAAGCTGCAACAGTTTAGTATTAACTGCAACAGTTTAGTATACAGTTTAGTAGCAAAACTGTTGATTTGCTGCAACAGTTTAGTATTATTAGCCCAGTCAAAGTTGGAATAAATAGATAAATAAATTTGAGTGATACATATCTATAACTATAGGATGACTGAAGGTGTGATTGTAGGGAATTTACTGTTTTAAGGTTAATGTTTCATTTGAAAGTGGGAGGGGGGGAATAGCCATCATACAGATACACACACCAGAATGGAAACACTAATTTTTATTTCTTATTCTTCAAGGATACCGTTTTTCATTCATTCCTCTCTCTCTTTCTCTGTGTCTCTCTCTCTCTCTGTGTCTGTCTCTCTGCTTCCTTCCCTCCCTCTTCGAATATATGACTTAATGTAATATTTTTCATTTTGGAATATTTCCTTTCTTTGTTCTTTACTATTTTTTACCCTTTACGAAATGCAGCTTTACGTGCGGGAGAGTGGGGGAACCCACGAGGTTGCACTTCAAGCTTGCAAGTAAAGTAAAGTAAAATCAGTGCTTCTTACTTCGTAATAAACGTTGTTAGCACTCTGAGCTTTGAGAATTTTGAGGCAGAAGCAATTTCGGCGTCAACGCCTCAGGCTCCTGGAGGGACGGGAGATACTGGACCCCGTATCCTCTCTCTCTTCGGTCCAGTAGCGCCTTCTTTGTTGGGTCCACCGATATCTTCCCCTCGCCCCTGGCGCTGCGTGTGCCGAATTCACGGACGCGTTAGCCCCCTATTTTTGCGCAACTTTCGCAAAACTTTCCCGACTGAGGTGCGGACGTGCCGGGGTCTGGGACAACCTGGCGTCAGAGAACGGGATGGCGGGGAGACGCCTCTGCCGGAGCAGAATCCAACCTTTATATCAATGAAAATACATTGCATACGACGGAAATAATTGGCGAACGCCAATCCTTTGATCGCTCTTTTTGGTTATGCGAAGCGGCTAAGAGAGCAGCTATCGGGACTGCCGTGATAAAAGGACCGCGGCTTCTTAAATTCAGAAAATGTTTTTCCCCTTCGATTCATCTTTATGGAAAAACTGGGCTTCTTCGATAGGCTTTCCTTTTGCTGCCTGGGAGTCCTGGGATCGGGAGTGTGTCCCGTTAGGCAAAATACATATTCGAATTTAAAGTACATTTTTGAAGTTGGGGATTTTGTCTCACCACGTATTAGTCTTCTGAAGAACAAATTAAAATATCGCGGGTATTAAATGCATGCTGCTTTGGAGGTGGTGGGATTTTTTTAAAAGCAGCTTTTACATTTTAAAAATAAATTAATACATCTTAAGTCAAAGTTCAGGCTCTTTAAGAAACGATTCTGTCAAGCAACCCCTACTAACTAGAGCTTCAGGTCGATTTAGGTACAGAGCAATTCTCTGAATTAGTAAAATTCCCAATATAAATATTGATTAATTGATAATGGTACAAGAATTGTCTTATTGTCTTTCTGACTGCTATAATTTCAGAGTATCTACAAACCACAAAGTAAATGTTTTTAGCCTCCCTGTTACCCAATTTCCTTTAACACAACACAAAATTGATTCCAAGTATATACTTTTCCAAAACTCTCATCAAATAACCTGCAAATAATATTCAATAAATAGCAGAATTCCTTTAAGAAAAAAGCTCCCTGCTCCCTTGCATCATATTTTCTTTTTAGTTTTCTTATCTACTTGCAGCATTAATAGTTTCAAGTTCCCCTAATCATTTTTCAGTAGTATTCTACTCTAATTAATTCTAGTAAGTATCTCAGAGCACATTTTCTAAAACCTGTAGTGTATTTCTTCCCTATATAAAGTCCTAGAATACTTAATATTATTAAGTAACAATTACAACACTTACATCTTTCAATTGGTTATTCAAATTTCACAGGATAAGGCAAATAAAACAAATTTCCAGGATACTTGCCAAAACGTTGAATCCCCCGTATAAGATGTGACAACACACTAGCATAGGTATCTACATCTGCTAAAATATCACTAAAGATATAAAAATCATTTATAATCAAAATCTACCAGAGTAATAAAAGGACTATCATCAGACTGCCTAATAAAATTGCTAAGGGTTCCAAAACTCAGGAATTAAAAAAAAATACAAAAGGCAGTGGAGAAAATGAGAGCCGGTTTGGTCTAGTGCAGGGGTGTCCAACCTTGGCAACTTTAAGACTTGTGGACTTCAACTCCCAGAATTCCTCAGCCACAAGTCTTAAAGTTGCCAAGGTTGGACAGCCCTGGTCTAGTGGTTAAAGCATCAGGCTAAAAACCAGGAGACTGTGAATTCTAGTCCTGCCTTGGCTATGAAGGCCAACTGGATGACTTTGGGCCACTTACTCTCTCTCAACCCAACTCACGTCACAGGGCTGTTGTGAGGAAAGTAGAAGGAGGAAGGTGTGTAGGATACGTTCACCATGTTGAGTTACTTGTAAAAATAATAAAGGCTCCTGATAACTTGCAAAAGAAAATTAATTTGGATCAATTATGCTTTTTCTGCATAATCATCTGCATTGTGGTAATATCATCTTTCTGCAACCTAAGAGTGTTAAAGAGAATATAATAAAAGGATTTTTTTAGTTGTTTGAGTGTGCTGTGAAATCCAGAAAAATTGAACTAGAAATCATAGTGTGTGTATGGCATTAAAGATGATATATATACACTATCATGATCCCTACGAGGAAAAGAAAAGTTGATGATTCTCCTTTCTTGATAAAAAGTTGAAACTGCTATGTTTTCACTAGAACAGTAAAGGGAACAGAGCTGTTAGGAATTCCTCCATTAATCTTTCACTGCTCTTTCCTGCTCACAAAATTTCCCACATATTCCACTAATCAACAAGCTGGCTAGGACCATAGAAAGGCACAGTAAGGGCCACAGTGAGTCACATAGGACTTAACAAATAATCTTACTGTGGCTTCTCAAATTATGGTTTCTTTAGATCATTACTAGTCAGTAATGAAAATGGGGGTGGGGGGAGGACCCTAGAATTTTGATTAAATGTCAATGGGTCTTCTCCTTTCCCACAATAAAATGGGTCTACTCTTTTCCCAATAAAAAGTTCAAAGGTTCCTTTGTGGAAGTTTAGTAATTTGTTAGCAAACAATTAGACGAGATACAATACTTTATCTATAGTCTCTACAGTAGACCTCACTCCAAACTTATTCACATCCCTCTCATGTTGGCGTGTGATTTTTTTTCACTTTCAAATTTACAGATATCTTCCTGTACTTTGATGTCAGGATAAAGGGGTTGCTGCTGAAGTTCCTGAAAATAATGTCCTAATTTCAGACAGGCTTGTGAAAGTCTTGACTCTGTATAATCTCTCATATCAACTCATAAAATTAGGCATTCTCAATTTCACATTTAGGGAAACTGTCTGGGAGTAGCACATCTTAGCCAAGACCATCCATAGTACTAATTATTTAAGTGTTATGTAGTGTAATTTATGGGGGGGGGGGTTTCAACTAAGATACAATCTCACCTGTTTCAATGACAAAGCTTTCTTAATGAGGGCATCACAATTACAATATATTTCTCCTGTTGTCTCAGAGTAATATGGGTTGCACAAGTTAAGAGATGGTAACTCATTTCAGTTAGGATTGGATATTGATTAAGTTTGTGGATTCAAATGTCTGGAACAAAACACCCTGTTTGTGTAGGTTGCTCAAGCTAATGCAGTGTTTCTCAACTTCGGCAGCTTTTCAGATGTATGGACTTCAACTCACAGAATTCCCCAGACAGCTATGTCTACGTCTGAAAGTTGCCAAGATTCAGAAGCATGTGCTAATGTCTAATAAATAATAAATTAATAAAGTCTAATAATATGTTAACAATGCAGCATGTCTTTCAAATTCTGAGATAGACAAGGGGGGGGAAAGAGTACAGGGGAAAAAATCTTTCCAAAAGAATTGGGAAAGATTTCTATAGCAATTTCCATTTATTTTTATTTCAGTTTATCTTGTATCTTGAAATACATCCAGTGTTATGATGCAAGTGATTGATATTCGATTAGGATTGGGGAGATTTCCACTGAGTCATGAGCCTCATTGTGTGACTTGAGGCAATCATCCACACTCACATAATCTGTTCCATTCATATAGTTGTAAAAATATAAGGGTGTATGTGTGCTGAGTTTCTTGGAGAAATAATGTGATATAAATGTAGCAAATTAGTGCATTTCAGATGTTTTGGTTGATAAAATTCATAACTTCAAACCATTTGGCTATATTGGTAAAAACATATGAAAATCCCAGTTAGGAATATATACAGAGCAACACATTGCCTATTATTTTTTGTAAATAATTGAAGTATGACTGAAAAAAAGGATAATACAATGTTTCCTAATGTCCAGGGCTGGATTAAAGCCAACTGATATCCTAGATACAATCCAGTAATGATGCCACTTGGCCTTTCCATTACTTAACTGACAAGATATTTAGACACAATAAGTGCTGAAAACCTGAGTGTGATAATGAAAAGTTAAGGGCATGAGTGGGGAAATCGCTATGGTGCCTCCCTTATTTTGGTACACTAACCCCAGGTAATTTGGCTTAATGGTACTTAGTAGAGTAAGATTTCAACTAGGTACTTTCGGAACTCATGACTCACAATTCATGTTATTTCTCACTACCAGAAAAACAACACAAATAAAGAGTAAGAAAATTAAGGCAGTTTCAAAAGCTGATATGAAATCTGAATATTGATAGCAATAATTAAAGTTTACACATTCATTGAAAGTTTTGCATTCAAAACTTTCCAAACAATTTCCATTGTTTTAATGAATAAAAATCAGACCAGAGTTTTGTAATTAAAAATTTAATCAAAATCAAGAAAAGTTACAGTAATTTAAGTATTGGAATCACTTTTTTACAAAAATATACATCTTCAACAGCTAGAGGCAGGAAGACAAAAGTTTCAATTATATATTCATCCATAATTAAATATACAAGGCTTTGTTTCATTATTGATTGTGGTCGTTTTGTTTGCATGGCTTATTGTGTTAAAGAATTCTTGTTATCAAAAGATACTCACCCATCATTTCCTTTTATAGTTATTTGAACACATTTTCAATCATCAATCAATAGTCAAATTGCAAAAGCTACCAAAAATATCTAAACAAAGAGCTAAGGCAGGCAGGTAAGCTTATGACTAAATATACAGTCATCTATTTTCTAGCAAAGTATATAAGTACTATTACAAGTCACTCTATTCATATATGAAATATCTCTTGGTAGTTGAAGAAGCTCTTATAAATCTGTGCAAGTGTTAAATCTGCAATTTTATCCTACAGACCAAGGAAAAATTTATATAAACAGAATTTTATTTTATAAAAATACAGAGTATATGTAATGTATCATAAAAAATTCATTTGACATTGTATTAGAAACCACAAAGTTTGATCAGAAATTTTCAAAACAACATTTTTTCATATCAAGAAAACCAATCCTCTAAGTCATCTCCCTCGTCTCTCTTCCATAACTAACCTGGCTTAACAATTCTACTGTATGGTCTCAACAATAGCAACTATATATGTCTTTTAGAGGCATATAAATCAGTCCCGCTGCTAACTGGAACAGTTGTGGCTGGTATGAACCTCTTTTTGCTGCCAAACAGAAGGCTTGATTCTGTAGATGAAAAGAACAATGTTGAGTTTTGCGCTTTTTCCTTTGGGTGACAAAGACCTAGGAAATTCTTCAATACCTTCTGTCGGAATTGCTGGTCCATAAAGGCATAGATGATAGGATTAATGCAGCTGTTGGTGAAAGCTAGACAAGCACTGATAATAACTCCCCTCCTGAGAGCTTTCACTGCCTCACAAGGGAAGTCAATGTTCTGTACCATACCGTAAGTGATGACAGCTGTGAAGGTATTAAAAGGTAACCAACAGCAGATGAATGCCCCAATGATGACAAAGATGATTTTAAGAGCATGGTTTGTTTTCCTTCCTACGTTGACATGACTCTGGAGCATGGAGAAGATAGAGCAGTAGCAGAATAAGATTACACCCAAGGGTAGCAAGAAAGTCAAACAAAGTACTGTGAAAGTATAGATGACAGAAGGGTCTACATCCTGGCATGCAAACCTGTCTCCCACAGAGATCAGCTTTCTGTAAAGCAAAGATGGTATTCCTAATAGAAAGGAAAACACCCAGATGCAACCGCAGGTAATGTTGGTATTTCTCTTGGTCCCGAGAGATCTGGAATCCCAGTGCTTATTCATCACAAGGAAGCGTTCCACACTCATGCCCATCAGGAACAAGATGCTTGAGCAACGGTTCACAGAAATGGCATAGCTGCTAAATTTGCAAAGCTCTTCACCAAACCACCAGGAATCAAATGCTTCTGTCAAAGCCCAGAAAGGCAAAGTACATACAAAGACAAGATCTGCAATGGCCAGGTTAAGGACAAAGTTGTCCACAAGCCTTTGGTTGCCCCGTTTCTGCACCATCACCAGGACCACAAACAGGTTCCCAAAGAAGCCAATGAAAAAAATCATGAAGTAGATGACAGAGATAAAGACGGAGGCAAACGGCAGCTTTTCTATAAGGCAGAAGTCATCATCGGTAAGTCCTAAATCAAAAAAGTCTTCAGTGGATGATTCCAAGTCTCTGCTCCAATTTTTGGTCATGGCCAAGTCAGTTACCAACTCAGCAATCTTCATTTTCTATCAGAGATTCAGCAGAGAGTTTTCAGTTTGTAAGATCTAGCCCAAGTACATATGCTCTATATTTGGCTGGGTGGTATTTAAATAAATCAGTGGTTTGCTTGTTTTTAAGCACCTGTGGTAACTTCCTCTTGTTTTTATAAAAAAAAAAATTGATGCCAAGTAGTAGACAGAAGTCCTGAAACTCTGTAACAATAAAGAAAACAGTAATATAGTATGGCTGAGTAGCTACATTCTTGGTATAGTCTATTGTAACAGTTAGAGCAGGTAGTTATTTGCAAGCTGCTTTTCTCATTGGATAGTTTAATCTCTTTCTCAGAAGGCTTTGATCAAATTGGAACTACAAGTTTTACAAATTCAGCCAACATAGGAATAGTCGTAAAATTATTGATCATAACAAATTATTAAGGAAGATTTTGACTTTTTTCCAAAGTCTTTTTTTTCCAATGGGCAAAATTAAGTCATTGCTTTCAGGTAATGTAGATAAACTGGTAGAATCCTCATCTTGCATGACAAAGTTGTGAGGTCCACAATGGCCAGTTCCACATTCCTTAAACTAATTTGTTGTGTTCAAATGAGTGTCCTTTCATCGAGTCAATTTAAGTTAAAATTACAGTCCCATCTACTGTTGTAAGAATAGGAGAAATGCCATCCTGTTCTTTTTTTATATAAAAGTTTTTATTTTTTAAGACAAACGTATGCAAACAAAACATAAAATCATCTTCCATTTTATATACATACAGTGTGTCAGTTGGTTAGAAATCTTTTGTGCTATCCTTTTGTAGTCATTACTCACAATTTATATAATTTTTCACATTGTCAAAGTAACATATGCTTATATATTTATCAGTTATTAATCATCCATGACTAAACTATTTATTCCATCATTTTATATGAGATATTCCAAATTTTATTTTAAAATTTATATTGTACTTTCATCCAATGGTTCTATATTTCTATATTATATTTTATATCAATCTATTGAACTCCTATTACAAAATTATCTAATCTATTACATTACCATGTCTTTTTGTCCAACCATTGCTAAAACAAATCCCATATCATATAAAATTGTTTATCTTCTTGCTCTCTAATTTCAAATGTCAATTTACTCATTTCAGCACAGTCCTTAATTTTCTTAATAACTTCCTCCTGCATAGGTATTTTTTCATTTTTCCAATTCTTAGCAAATACAATTCTAGCCACTGTTAAAACATTTACAATCAAATATTTCAGTTCTTTATTGTATATTTCCGGTATAATTCCCAATAAAAAAAATCTCTGGTTTAAAGTCTATGTGTTGTTTTATCATTTTTTTCCAACTATGTGTGGATTTTAGTCCAATATTTTTTTGCATTCGAGCATGTCCACCACACATGGTAATATGAACCAGGTATCTGATGACATTTCCAACATTTATCCGATTTGTTCTTAAACATTCTCGCAATTCTCGTCAGGGGTAGGTGTCACCTGTAAAACATCTTATACAAATTTTCTTTATATGCAGTTGACATTGTCATTTTATAATTTTGGGACCACAATTTTTGCCAGAAATGCCATCCTGTTCTTCATCTCAGCTACTGAGTGCCTTGAGACTTCCTTGTCTTTCAAATTTAATTCTTCAGACTATTAAACTGCAAATATTGTTACAATTACCAAGCAGTGGTTCCTTCCACACATCCATCCAAAGTAGTGTATGTTTAAAAATTCCATTTATGTATATATGAATAAATATTTTCTAGCAAATTATGCTAGAAAACAATGACAGCAAAAGCCAGATTATACATTTTATGAATGAAAAAAGAAATGCACATCAAGATAGTAGAGAACATTTAAATATATAATATAAAGTAATGCCTAGCATGATACAGAAAGTATGTCAGCATTCCAACCAAACTCTCCATCTCAGTTCAGCTCTCAGAAACAAAGTCCATCCAAGTAAGAATTTATTAGAGAAGTCATATTGGCACATCTGGGAAAACCTGAATCTGAAATCCCACGTTTTCCCCTGGTATATTAAACGCACATCTACCCCTCCCTTACTGATGACCCACAAGTCACACTCTCCAATCCATCTCCATTCTGAACTCCTGCCAAGTCCAGTCACTCCCCTCCAAACTCCAGCGACTCAGCCTTGAGCTCTGACTAAAGAATGTTGTTGTGTTGGTTACCTCCCTTCTTGCTTTACTTTCATTTCCACGGTTACCCATCTTCCCTTGTGGCAGCCCCAAATCTGATTCAAGATGGATCCAGGGCTGACAAAGTACTTGATTCAGAAATGGAATAAAAACACTTAATAAAAAGATGGCGATCTTCCTTCTTCTCTCAGTTCCAGCCCAAATTGAATACAAACTTCTAACCAGGCTAGCATCTATTTATTTGCCTGATATCAAAAAAACAAGTTGTCTTCCACTGAGGTAATTCTCAGGACATGCAAAGAATAAGATGTGGCCAAATCATCAGTTTTATAGATTGTGAACACTAGACAATCAGAAAGGCTGAACTAGAAAACGCTGATCATGAATTTACAGTTGTTATTTTAGACACATTATGTCAAGGCAAGAGTCATTAGAGAATTGCTGATGCATGAAACAAAAATAAACCGAAAAAGTGGCTGATAAAAGATAAGGTGGCAAGATATTTTCACTGATGACTTATCAGTTTTTTACATACTTTACTTTACCTTACTGATGAGGAAAAAAAAGCACAAAAATACAAAAAATGACCAAAAGCTAAGATAAGATGGAAAAGGGATATGCACAGGGCAAGAGTGACCCTACGTTTCATCTGGAAAAGTCATGAGGTAACCGGCATTGACAAGTTGTAGCTTGCACATCGAGAACCAAACAAATGACAAGTACTGGGACAAAATTTTCTTGTCAAAATGTGTCAAGTACCAAATTTGACAAGTTTCAAAGCAGTCAAGTACCAAGGTATGACTATATTGCCTATTTGTAGTTATGCTAATAATTGCTTTAATCTGGTAAGAATCTGTCTATAGATGAAGAACAATAAAGGAAACTACTCTTAAGTAACTCCAGATTTTATTCTTAGTTCTTGGGGATTTGACATTGATTAACTGAAAGCAACAACAAACTATCTTCTTAGAGATACTGAAATACAATGGTCGCAACAGAATAACATATTCATATATACATACATACATACATACATACATACATACATACATACATACATACAGAATACCACACATCACCAGGCTTGACATTTTGGGCTTGACAACCTAGAACTACGCCGCCTACGATTGGACTTAAGTGTAGTTTACAAAATTATCTGCTACAATGTCCTACCAGTCAATGACTACTTCAGCTTCAACTGCAACAATACAAGAGCACACAACAGATACAAACTCAATGTAAATCGCTCCAAACTTGATTGCAGAAAGTATGGCTTCAGCAACAGAGTGGTCAATGCCTGAAATGCACTACCTGACTCTGTTGTTACATCCTCTAACTCCCACTCCTTTAACCTTAAACTATCCACTATTGACCTCATCCCATTCCTAAGAGGTCTGTAAGGGGCGTGCATAATTACACAATCATGCCTACCGTCCCTGTCCTATTGTCCCCATTTATTCATACCTATTTCCTGTATTCTTATTCATGTTTATTCTTATTCCTATTATCTTGTAAACGATTGACAAATCAAATAAATAAATAAAATAAAACAATCCCAGCTGTTGCCTGATCCTTTGCCAGTTCCTTAAGGTAGCTATTCTGATATAATGCTGCACTCCAAAATCTTCAGTGCTCCAGAATGATGGAATAGGAGAATGTAAAGGTCACACAGCTCTGTCCTTGCTGCCAATAGAAAATGGTAGATGTTGCCTGTTTTTAGAACAGCTAAGGAAACTTTTGCAGTTTCCTAAAGTCTATTCACATTTGAATAAATAATTAAAACTTAAAAATTATTCATATGAACAGGAAATTTGAATAATTATAAAATTTAAAAGAAATATAAAACAAGTTTAAAAAGTAAAGATATAATAGTTCATAAATATTAAAAAGTTGTAAGTTTCTATAAAATATATAGGGAAATATAGAAAAATATGGAAATAAGATAGACAGCTGTACCTCTAATAAGATGGATATAGAAATGTAGATTCTAACAGAGGCAGTTTTTTATTCACAGATTAGAAAGTCTCATGTTTAAATTTTCATCTACTATTATAGTTTGCATTAACATCTAGTCTAGACACAGATCTGGTAAGCTGACAAAAACTAAATCCCTATTGTCTTATTCCACAAATAGGAAAAAAGGAATTGAGAGCATAAGAATCTCTTAAAATTAGGGCAATCTTCCATGCCTACCAGATGTTTGGGAACACCTACCAGAACTCCCAGCCAGCATGGACATTGAAGCTGAAGTTCACACACAAGGAGAGTGTCGTCATGGTTAGGAAAGGCTGCCTTAGCGTTTCTCAGTTTCAACAACTAAGAAGTATGTACTTCAGCTCCCAGAGTTCCCCAGCCAGCCATGAGAGCTAGAGATTTGGGAGTTGAAATCCATACATCTTAATGTCACTGAGATTGAGAAACACTGTCTTAGGATATGGTCCATTGGCATATAAGGATAAGTCTATCTTTCCTCTATCAAGGGACTATGTTCTCATTGCCTTTCTGAGAAATTGCAGGAACTGCAATAGCTGTAAATATTCTCACTGGGCATTTTGTTTGTTGTTCAAATGCTATTGAGATGACAAAACATTATCGTAAATGTTTTCAAAGGGACTTCTGTAGCATTTTAATTTAACATTACTGCGCCCAAAATGAAACCATTAAGGAATGGGCAGTCTGATTCAACAGATTCATTTGGGCTGCTGAGACATACAAAGTAAGTATGTTATTAAATTAATTACATGTAATTAATGACAGCCCACAGGACCTAAATGTCCACTTGGTGGAATAGTTCTGCTCAAACTGCATGTAAGTAGTAATTGTGAGTCAAATGAAACCCACTTTGCCATCTCTCCTTTC